CCTTAAATATTAGTTTGAAAGTTCAAGCTTTAACATTAACATCTACAGCTTTCGAGGAATAATTTTAAAAAAAAGAACAAAAAATTATACACCATGTTGTTTTCAAACAACAATTCATGGTGATCCCAACATACTAGTAACCCAAATTTAAGTCATTTTTTTCAAATGAATTTCTCTGTTAAATCTCTGAAATCTTTTATGTTCTTGCGTCCTGATTTACACAAAACTTTTTAATAAGGTTCCATTTGTTAGCATTAGTTTACTACATTAGTTAAAATGACAAAACAATGAAAAACACTTTTAAAGCATTTAATAATCTAAGTTAATGTTCATGTCAACATTTTCTAATAAATTATTCAATTAAAAGTTGCATCATGTTAATGGACCTGTGCTAACATGAATTATTAACAAACATTTAACACAAATACTGGAACAAATGTATTGTTCATGCAAGCGTATTGTAGAGTTTTACTATGTACTGTTTGGAAAAGAATATAAAAAATAACAGCATGCAGAATTGGCACATCATGATTTGCAGTGGTAAATGATTTTCATTTGTAAGTGAATTATTGCTTTAATAGTGATGTTGTGATATATGGCTGATCACACTGAGTGTCTGATTGTGTCTGATTATCCTCTCTGTATCTGTCAGGACGGGAGGTGTGATTTTAGCGTAAGCCCTTATACTGCCTGGCTCAGGGCTCGCCCCCAGCTGGACGCTGGAGACTGGTCCTCTGGGACACGGAAGGGCTCTCTGTTCCAATCCGTATCGATCCATGACGCTGATGAAAGAACCCACTGGTCACCTTGAGCCCTGCGTATCCCGCGGCAGCACTGCAGCCCCCCGTGTCACTTTAGTCAGACCGAGAGGCTCCGGGGCACAAGAGGTGTGTGTCTGTGTGTGTGTGTGTGTGTGTGTGTGTGTGTGTGTGTGTGTGTGTGTGTGTGTGTGTGTGTGTGTGTGTGTGTGTGTGTGTGTGTGTGTGTGTGTGTGTGTGTGTGTGTGTGTGTGTGTGTGAGAGAGAGAGAGGCAGAGGTGAGATGGTCCGTGAGGAACAATGATACTGTGGTTACTGTTTTAATATTGCATTTTGCAAGAAAAAAATAAAGTTCCTTCATAAAGTTATACTTTGCTTCTAAATGTTATTATGTGTTCAAAACCTATAACTTTTTCACTTCTGTCCCTCCAGTGAGTTGTTAAACTCTGCTTCGTTTCATTGAATGAATCTTTCAGACCAGATTGAAGAGAAAAATTGTCATATGGACTACTTTTATGATCTTTTCGTGCTTTTTAAGACTTTTTGAAAACTCCTGTCTCCATTTATTCTAATTGTATGGAATAATCAGTACAATTATTCTACATTTCTCATTCCGTCATCCAAAGAAGAAAGAAAATCATACGTGATTGACAATAAATAAGGACAGAATTTTTAGGGGGAAAAAAATTGCGTAATCACTTTTTTATTTGATTTTCTAAGCAATGTTTACCCTACCTCAAAATGAATAATTCAATCTCTTAAATTGCACAATTACGTGACAATGGTTAGCATGGTACATGTATTTGAGGAATAATAATAATAAAAGGATGTGGCATTTCTGAAAAAAAGTTACACTTTGCATCGCAATTTGTGTTATGTTGTTCAAAATCTATATAACTTGTTTTCTCTTCTCTCACTCCAGTGAGCTGTTAACTCATGTAACATGATTCTGTTCATTGAAAGAATAATTTGTCATGTAGTTATTCAATGAATAGATCAGATTCAAACTGTCCTATGGACTACTTTTATGATACTTTTATGGTGTTATTGCATCCATTGTTGAGGCTTTAAAAACTCCTGTGCACATTTATTCTAATTTGCATGGAATAAACAGTAATTTAATTTTTTTAAATGTCTTAATTGTCTTCCATGGAAGAAAGTAAATCAGATTAAATAAGGTCAGAATTTTCTTTTCTTTCTTTTTTTTGTGAACCTATATTATAGTAATCAGTAATTTATTTGATGCTATTATGTACGACACAGATAAAAATCTCTTAAACAATGTTTACATTTGCATGAGAATGCAATGCCTTAGCATGAAACTCAAGGAAAGATAGAGGATATTGTATTTTGCACAAAAAAAAAGTTTGCAAAGTTATGATAAAGTACAAGCAATATAAGTTCCACTTTGCATCTATTTGTGCTGTTGAGAAAAACAAAACTGGTAAAAACATCAGAGAAGAGTAGATCAGAACACCATCAGATCAGTTTTCCCAACGCCACATCTCAAGACAGATCCCTGATCATACGCACAGAGACGCTCTACGGGGAATATAATTACTTTTTTTTCCACCAGTGACGAGTGATTTCCCAGGTTTCAACAGAGGTGCTGGGAGAAACGTGGACGATTGATCAGCGGTGATGCCTCCCATTTGAAGATCACAGACAAGACAAAGAAAAGCTAAGTAGGACGGCGTTGGACGCTCCCAAAACGCAAGGCGGGTTAAGGGAGAAAAAAAAAGAGTATAAATGAAAAGGAACAGAGGGAGAAGGCTTGGGAATTAAGTAAAATATAATTAATGACAGCCGTCTGAAACTTAACTGTATCAGAAATGTGTTTTAATCGTGCAAAAGTACATCAGGAGCGTCACACGCGGGGTAGTCGTATGGCTCTGGGCGAGTGAAGAATTAACTACCAGCACTTGAGTACAGCTGGAATATCTGCCTCCTCCCCGTCATCCCAACTCTGGGAGTTTGTTGTTTGCGGCCTTATGGGAGTGAGACGGAGAGGAAAATACTTAATGTGCTTCCGACTGTCGACTACAGTCGTGCCTTAAAAGCGGAAGAGATACCGAGATTGATCTTATAGGAGCGCAACATGGGACTCGGGTAAAGGAGTCAACGGCGAGCTATTGGACAGCTGGGAGATCTCCTCTGAGATCACAGACCATATTGAGGTGGAATAAACTCCCGTCTTTGTGCTTTGTCACTATCAGGACCTTGTCCCACAACCTTGAACACATATTCCCTTGGTAAAGTCACCTGGGAAAAATTACAGGGGGAAGGTTTGTTCTCCATTCCTCTTTTTGTTGGAGCCGAGGTTTAATCTACTACCCAATACTAGAGACTCATTTTTTAATATCTCCCCGGAGCACTGGCCGGTTAAAAGGCTTCCCAAAAATACACCACATGATCAGCAAAAAAATGTTTTAGATAACTTTTATGCGTTTTAGATTTGATTTATTGGCCTGAAATGGCCCTTTAAATTGCCATGATAAATTTGAAAGTGTCATTCACATCCTGTGTATTAATATTAGATTTCCAATAAATGTAGAAATAGTCTTTTTTTTTGTGCAAATTAATCTAGTAGAATATTAAGAAAGTGAAATAAATGTAAAATGATTCATCAAAACTAGATTAGCGTTGTTGAGTTTTGTAGTCCCAGAAATTTAGTGTCATTATAGTTTAATGTTTTATTGTTAAACCTGTTTGTTTTATGTTGCTTACGATGGCAATCGTATGACAGTGATATAGACAATCTAAAGAAATGTTGAATGTAAGAATACCATTTATTGTAATATGTTTTATTATAGCATTATTATAATAATAGCATTAATTGTTATAGTGTTAATAGATTTATATTACTCGTATTTTTGTAATGTATTTATTTAATTATTTTAAATAGTGATCTTTGATTTAGCAGGCTTAAGCAATTATAATGGTATCAATTTTGGGCAAAATGCAAAGCAAATGTGTTTTAGGTTGTATGTGTTTTAGGACAAAGCAGAAAAGAGGCGCAAAATGCAACAGATCCCCCCCTCACTGCTATCCGTGATCTTCCTGGCACTCGGAGACAGGGGGCCCAGCTGGGGCTCTACCCAGGACCACTTCTCTTTCATGGGCAAGCGCTGCTTCACCTGCCCCCTCCCTTTCCCGATCCCCTGCCATCACAAATCCCACAATCCTCCCCCCGGCTTTCCAACCCCTCCAACCGTCCCAGCTGAGCTTTGCTAATCAGTATGGCTACGAGAGACAAGACTTGGTTAATTCGGCCAATTAGACCCGAGCATTGTTTGTGGCCAGCGACATTTTGTATTCGTGAAAATGTGTGGAGTGCAAAACGTGCCCTGGAGCGACGGAATGATAGTGCCGCAGCTCTTGCCACATGTCAACAAAACATGCGCTGGGGTGAAGGGGCCGATCATGTGTTCTGGGGTGTGTGTGTGTGTGTGTGTCTGTGTGTGTGTGTGAGTACACATGAATATGTGCATGTGCTTTCAGAGAGGATTATGATCTTCACAATTTACAATACTGGTCAAAAGTCTGGACATTTATATATATATATATATATATATATATATATATATGTTTTTGAAAGAAGTCTCTTATGCTCCAAAGGCTGCATTTATTTGATCAAAAATACAGTAAAAACAGCGATATTGAGAAATAAAATAACGTTTTCTATTTTAGTCAAAAGTGATTTCTGAAGGTTTCAGATTGCTGAAAATTCATTCTAATATGCTGAGTTGCAGCTCAATTATGATCAAATATTAGGCTATTGGTGCTCAAGTATTAAAAAATGTTAATTTAAGAAATAGAACTCTTTTAAAACATAAATGTCTTTACTGTCACTTTTGATCAATTTGATGTGTCCTTGCTAAATAAAAGTATTAATAAAAAAATAAAAAAGTCTTACACTACTATTGAAAAGTTTGGGGTCAGTATCAAAGTTTCCACAAAGAATATTAAGCAGCAAAAACTAATTAAAGTGCCTTATTGCTTTAACGAAACATTTGATATGTACTATAAATAATAAAGACACAATTTTTCAAACACATTTTATTAATTCCACAAATAACGATCCGCAGTGATGGTTGAACAGGTGTTTTGCATCATAACCGTTACTATATTGTGTAATTTAGCATGCAGGAACACTGTATTGACCAATCAGGATCCAGGACCGTTTTATAATAATGTGTACGGTGCACTGCCTCTCTTTCCTGTCTATCTCTCTCTCTCTCTCTCTCTCTCTATCTCCCTCCGTCTTTTGTAGGAGCGAGTTAGCGGAGGGGTCTTGGTGGCAGATGGGCAGGAGTATCAGGGATTGACTAATCCCAAATCTGCCGTCTCCTCACCACACCGAAACCAGGGGAGAGGCACGAGCCAGCTGCCACATAGACGCCTTTCATGCTCGTCTGCACACAACAGCTGCAGCAGGCCTGCCTGCTTGCTTCTAAATTATTAAACATCTTTTTAGTTTGTTCCAGATGCAGAGCCCGATGTGCTTATGGAGGCCTTTGTGCATTTTACATACCGTTCCTTTTCCCCTCCTCTCATCAGAATGCTGTTTGTAAAAGTCATTATCCCATCTGCGCCGCCAGTTTGGACAAAACAGCCCAAGACGAATCCAGCACGTTCCTCCATTCCGGGACAGTTTGGGAGTTGAGGATGACGGTGATGATGGAGGGCTGCAGGGGTTTGGGTATCTCGCCTCTGAAACGCACAGGCCACCTGTAAACCGTCTCGCTCGCTGCTCCGGGGCGGCAACAGGAGTTTTGCAAGTAAGATTTCATCCTTTGGAAGGCGGCTTAAGAAAGAATGAGCCTCTTTCACACACAGGTTGAAATAATCTGCTTCTCGTCGAGTCTTTCCCCCAAAGGCAGGCCGGCAATGGCTGGCCTATTATTGCTGTGAAAAGGCGTTAGAGTCCTGAATATTCATCAGGGAGATGGAGGGGGCATAGAGAGGGGCTCCAAAATCCCACCGCACCGATGGTCAGCTAATGTACCAGGACACAGAATGGTAATATAGATGTGCAAAGAAAAATGGGTAACGCTTCCTTTTACAGTCCTGTTACCCATGTACTTACTATGTACTCATTACAGTAATTATAATTACTGGGTAATAACAAGGTACTAACCCTGAACCTACCCCTAACCCATGTACTTACCTTATATTAGCCAGTACTTTCTAGGTAAGTACACTGTAAGTACACGTAAGTACTGTACTGTAAAAGGAAGCGTTACCGAAAAATGTTTCGTTTTTATTTTATTTTATGCACACTCTTGATCTTTTTGTACATGATTCACTGCATGTTATTGTATAACTGCCTCTGAAACAACTTTCCTATATTGATGCCCTCTTATTTTTCAAGCACCTGTCTTCTTTTAGTACCTCTCACTTTACACAATCTAATCAATTCCCAATAGATAAAAGAGTTGCACTTTATTTTACAGTATGTGCACTTACTGTACCCAAGAGAGTTCTGGGTCATATAAGGTTAACATGGGTTAAGGTTGGGTTTAGGGGTAGGTTCAGGGTTAATACCTAGCTATTATCCAGTTATTGTAATTACTATAATAAGTACATCATATGTACATGGGGAACAGGACTGTAAAATAAAGTGTGTCTTTGTTATGTTACATGTACTTACCATAGAAATAACAGTATATTATGCATAATTACATGCAACTAACCCTCAACCAAATCCTAATCCTACCCTAACCCTATAGTAAGTACATGTAGTTGCTTAATATTGCATAGTACTTAAATATATAATTACACTGTTACAATGACACCTTAAAATAAGGTGTAACCTAAAGTCCTATATCTTTCAAAATGTCTTATTTCACCTTCACATTACAGAGACTAAATGGAATGCAAATTGCAATTCATGTGGAACTTAAGTTTGATTTTTTTCCTTGTTTTTTTTTTAAATACATTTTATTTTTTATTTTTTCATTTAGAAAGCAAAACAAAGTGGACTAGGGAAAGATGGCGAGCAAGACAAAGGGAATGTTTTGAGTGATTTGGCATGAGTTTTGCTGCACCCGGGCTGCTGGATTGAAGTTAATAAGCGTGCGAGAGTCCCGACGAGTCCCGACTCTTACCGTCTCCCCCCGTCCAGGCTGGATCTCCAGATGAGTCCTCCACGGCCCACACACACCAGAGACGAATCTGGATCCTCCACTGGAGCCACTGCACCTGTTGTTTTCAGGAGTCGGAGAAAGATAGACACTCATGCTCGGAGACCGTATGGAAGAATGAGAACAGGCAATGTGTTTTGTTACTAAAGCCAAAAAAAAAAAAAAAAAATGTTTGGTTCAAATATTTAGTCAAGAATAAAAAGTCCCATTTAGAACTAAAATAGTTTTTAAAAATCAAGAAATCAGAATTGACTAATATGCAGTACCATTTAAACAGTAATATGGTGAGCTATTATTACAATTCAAAATAATTATTTTTTATGTTCATATATTGTAAAATGTAATTGATTCCTGTGATCAAAGCTGAAGCATCATTACTCAAGTCTTCAGTGTCACATGATCCTTCAGAAATCATTTCTGATTATCAAAGTTGAAAACAGTTTTTGTGGAAACTGTGATACAGTATTCTTTAATGGATAGAAAGCTCAAAAGACGAAATATTTTGTAGAAATCAATATAATATTTTGTAACACCATATAAATCACTAATATGTCACTTTTGATCAATTTAATGCATTCTTTCTAAATACAAGTTTTAATTTCCTTTAAAAAGTAACTGACTGACCCCAACCTTTGGAATGTATCTTTTATCAAAAAGTATGATTTTTTTCTCTCTCTCTTCAGTTCAAGGTGGATACAATTATTTTTTCTTATGGAATGTCCTGCTTTAATCAGAAGTAAAATGTTGTTAAATCAATGATGTAATATTAGGAACTTCTTTTAAAACTGAAAATTTGCTGAACTTACAGTACGATGCTGCAAAGAACCATGGGAGCATTCTTGTTAAGTGTGTGGATGGATATAGTGGTAATGTTTGTCTTCTAGTTTATAAAAAAAAACAGCTCAACTGAAATGCCTGCAAGAAGAGACACCAAACTAGTATTTAGACAATCTCGAGCCGGAACAGTTCAGCCGCAGCATTTAGTAATGTAATGAAGAGCAGACTCCCGTCACATTTCCGCCAGGTTTCGCCTCATCACTTCCTGCCCACAGATGGTGCCACACTCATTCTTCTAATGTCTCTCTCGCTTTGCCTGGCATGAGCAGCTTGCACTTCACAATTATAGGCTGTGCTACTTTAGTAAAATGTATGCTAAAGCTGCCCTGATTCTGACACATCCCATCGTAACGATGCACTTTAAATAGCATTTCCTGAGGAAATATGATGAATTGTCGATAATTGACCTTAGAGCTGCAATTTAGAAGCAAAGCTTGGACTATAATGTATGAGGCGTATGGATGTTTGCATCCACAGACACTGCCCTTTAAATCTGCTGTTGATGAATGCACTTTCCCTCTCAAAAAGAAGAGCTACCTGGCATCTATCGGCTGCAGCTTCAGCCTGGATCTGAATGTTCGCCAGGCTCCTGAGAGGTGCTGAACGATCCAGTGAGATCCAGCACAGAGCTCTCAGAAGGAAACCCTCGGCTTGAACCGCCTGTGCTGAACCGCGGCTGACGGGTTAATCAATGCCGTGATCAATTTGGAATGTACAAATTGTTTTATTTGAATGGAAAATGCAAACTGTTGTTTCTCAAGTCCTGATTAATTGACCCACATATTGAATGTTGCTTGGGAATGCCCAAAGCTCTGAGCAGGCTGTATTGGTACAAATTTTATAATAAGGTTATGTTAAATTGTAAATTAACCAAGACGCAATGCTCAGAAGGGCTGTTATTGGAAATGAATAACTGAGAAAGCGAAAAGGGTTACATTAACTTAAAATTCTAATGTTTAATCAGAGTCGTGCTTTAATTTTATATTTTTAAATGCATACTCTATTGTTTTTTCAGGATTTCAGGAAATCACTTTTGACCTAGAATTACTTCTGTGTATGCCTGTTTTTTTTTTATTCCCTCAACATTGTTATTGCAGTCAGTGTTGTGTACAGCAGGTTCAATCCTGATAATGCAATAGGATTCAGCCACACGTTAATTAGCTGAGAACGACCCAAGAGAGCCAAACTGGATATGCTATTACTGAGAGAAATACAGGAACACTCAAAGACAAATTATACAGTGCTTGATAAATTAACTAATGCCTCTCTGATTAAAAGCCTGAAATGCAATCTATTTTTTTTTCTCTTCAAATTACCAATTTGTCAGAACAAATGAATCCAATATGCCTTCCGTTTCCGTTTGCTGAATACAACCTACAACTAATTCCATATGACAAAAATTCTCACCTTCCAATCCAGCATTCATGTGTGTTTTTTTCATTGGAGTTTGGCTTTATTGAATGCAATTTATCAAACTAATACACCTCTGTAAGTGAGCTGGGCACAATGTGTGTAAAACGAATCATTTCAAAATTCTATTATAATTCATGTATGAGTTATTCATCCATTTATCTGTTTATACGAATGCATTTTTATTTATTGTTGTTATAAACAAATACAGAGTGGAATGCAAAACTCATATGATTTGTTTTATTTTCATAATTTAATATAGACATGCTCATTGCAAATTGTGTTTGCAGCATAACAGTTTGAGTGACAAGTTAATTAAAAACACAATAATATTTGTATATGTTTTGAAGCACACATTGAGCCAGGAACATTGCGTTTGTAAAAAATAAGTTTGCATGGTCGATTTGTGAAATCATCATAATCTTGCTGTGAGTTAATGTTCTCAGAAGCCTATATTATTCTGCTTAGTTCGAAGTTCAAATGAAGGGGAAAAAATCCCATACAAGTCTTTTGGACCCCGCAGTGCATTGATTTTATCTTGTTATACTTCTTTTTGTATTCGACAGATGCACATTTTGTCAAACATCTGTGATGATCAAATTATTCTCTTGAGATGTTTACTAACCCTAAACTGAAGTGTTAATTCAGATCTTCAGGTCATGCATTACTATATGGAAGCAGAATAGTCTCTTTTATAATTCACGCAAGAAACACGATTCACACATGGTTACTAAGAGCAATTCCCTTTCTCACACATTTTTAATGTTGGGCACTTGCAAATTTGCCATGTATAAATACATTTTCATACAGAGTAGTGTCTGAATTTCAATCTGCACCTCCGGCTTGGGTTAGTTAAACAAGCCAGGTTTGAAACCACATCTGTCCTTCAGTCAGATCAGTGAGACGGGATGTATAGCATCTCTCTCTCTCTTTCTAAAAACAGATTTTTTTTAATAGTTTTCCCCCATAAAAACTTTCCAGCACAATGGAAATTAAAGAGGTCACAAGTGTATGTGAGTGTGTGTGTGTGAGAGAGAGAGAGAGTGACTCCGTGTGAGTCAGATATGAAGATTCACACTGTGCCAGTTGCATGCAAGATGTGAAAATGTCCTGCAAATGAGACAACGGCAGTAAATTCACTTTTATTCAAATTACTGTCGTCGCAAATCAGCACTCCTCCCATAAACATTTCACCGTTCATTGTTACGACCGGCCAGCATCATCTGTCAGATTACACTTTTAATTCATTAACATGTCACCTCCTGTTTGAGACTATGCAGTAGTTCACCTCTGAATAATCAGGGATAATTCTACTTCTGTGGATGCAGGGGTTACAGAAAACGATGACAAAGCTATCACACACACACACACACACACACACACACAAGCTGTGTCACATTCTGTCTGTGTGGCAAGTATTCACAGAGTTTCGGTTCATTTTTGTGACGTGTTCCAGAAAGAAGTTGGCAGAGACTGAGACAGAAGAAAGTTTTGTTGTTTTTTTAACCCTCCTATTATCTTTGGGGTCAATTTGACCCCATTCAATGTTTAATGTCTGTAAATACATGATGATTTTTTATTTTTTTTTGCTTCAAATTTAATGACTTTTCCTAATTTAACGGATACAACTCTGTAAACATAAAATTAACCTGCTGATATTTTTTCAATGTCCTGTACACATTTTGTAGCATCAGTGTTCCTTGGGGTCAATTTGACCCCAGGCTCTTTTAGCTGTATAATAAAACAGAAAACAAAGTAAAATTTCACACACATTTGTTTTTGTTGTTTTATTGAGGTCACTATAACATGTTATAATGTGAATTTATAATGTTCATTATATATTCAATATTATATTCAAAAAAGTCCCTCTGTTTTAGGGCTCTAACCTAACATAACCATATCTGTAGTATTGCGAGAACCACTAGTAGTTCACATGACGTGATATAATTCTCATGAGAACTAATAATTCTTTCCCGTGCCATGGGGAGTGGAAAACATCATTTTTGCGAGAACTTTGATGTTTCCCATGCCATTGGCGGAGGGGAAAACATCATTTTTGCGAGATTGACCCCACACATAACTCGTGTTACTATCCTTGATAAAATAAATAGTTTTTCTTTCCAAATGTTATAGATTACAAAAATCTATACTTAGAAATATTATAAAAGAAATAAAACACCAAATATATTTATACTATTTATATTTTTATAATTTTAGGTCAATCAGTAAGATTTTATGGTAATTTGTAAATTTGTCCATAGTCTAGCAATGGGTATTCTGGATGTATAAGGGGTGGGGAGGGGGGAGGGGGGTGGTGGGTGGATGTTAACTTATAAGGTTACTGAAGTAGTCAACAAATACATAAATTACCTGAGACAAACCTTTGTAAAAAAAAAAAAAAAAAAATCATATTGTGGAGGTTTAAATTACTGGGGTCAAATTGACCCCAGTGGGTAATAAATGTTATCAGATTTGAGGGTAACAGGAGGGTTAAGTGTAAAAAAAAAAAGAAACCTTTACAGTTTCAAATGATTTATTACTCATTTCTGTATGACAAAAATGATGGAGTATTTTAAGTTCTTTTCGCCATTCTCAGGAAAAAATGCAAGTGATCATGACGGCGCATCCGCCGACCCCAGAGGGTTAAAGGGTTACTTCACCCAAAAATGAAAATTCTGTCATAAATTACTCACCCTTATGTCGTTCCAAACCCGCAAGACCTTCATTCTTCTTCGGAACACAAACGAAGATATTTATGAAATCCGAGAGCTTTCTTATCCCCCATAGACTGCAACGGTATTACCAGTTTATTACAACAGGCCCAGAAATGTAGCAAAGACACCGGTGAAATAGTCCATGTACAGCGTCAGAGACTGAGAAGAAATTGATGAATAAAGTTATTTTTGTTTAGTTTTTTTGTGCACAAAAACTATTCTCTTTTCTTCATCAAATTAAGATTGAACCACTGTAGTCACATGACTATTTTAACGGTGTCTTTACTACCTTTCTGGACCTTGAGGGGGATCAGAACGCACTCAGATTTCATCAAAAAATATCTTCCTTTCTCTTCAGAAGATGAAAGAAGCTCTTACGGGACAACATGAGGGTGAGTAATCAATGACAGTATTTTCATTTTTGGGTGAACAATCCTTTTAAGGTCTGATATACCATATGATCTTTCCCTGGTTTCTTTTTTATCTACTTTATTTTAGTGTCTTTTTCTCTATTTATTTACTGTTCTCTGTTTGTTTCTTCTTTCTGCTCCCATGGCGATGATTTGGACAGCGTGAGAACGGCACACCACATGCAGCCCTCTTGACTATAAGTCGGATTCCCCACAATCCTTTGGAAATGTGTTTGGCATTCCAGCTCTGGGTATAAGTGGCTGAAGCCTGCCATCTCACCGCATCCAATACCTGAACACAACCCAGTTCAACCCGATGTCCCCGCTCTCTTTGCCCTGTATTAAGTAGGTAAGTGGCTGAGTGGCCGAGACATTTTGTCTCTCTTTCCAGCACCCTGCCTTTGATGCTGGGTTTAATTATAATGGCGCAACACATCCAATCCGGTTATGGATTTCAGGCCGCTGGAGCATGGAGAGGCGGCATGTCCATCTTTAATCCCGATCAGACGTGCTTGACTCGGGATGTGAAGCCGGCCCACTGGTACTGCATGGGATTGCTGATAAAGGATAATTCCGGTACTGTTTGTATGGGACACATGGAGCAACTCTCCGTCAATCAGACTGGGACCCTCGACTGAAGCTTTCTGGAGCTCAAATTGTGCCAGAAACATTCAATGTACTTCAATCAAACACACACACACACGCACACACATCATTCCTTTCATACCAGCATGCATGTCTGTGGCTCTTCCAGCCTTAACGGAATAAATGGAGGAGACTATTGTTTCTGTAGATTACAGGCTAATCCCATTTAGGATGGATGAAGCAGTACAATAGTGCTTTAAAAAAAAAAAAAAGCAGCTAAATGTGCGTTTTTGATTCAATATTTAGACTATTGTGTGCACATTGAAGACGATCAACACATATTCATATTCGCATCTCCTGATGACAAATAGGTCCTTGGACCTTTGCTAGAAACTTGAATTATATATATTATGACGTATATCAAAGTGAAACGGCTTCTTTGACCATGGGGAATTGACTGGATTATTGGATGGTTGTGGTTGACTATTGGTCGATCTCTTTGAGTGACAGGTTACCCCGCCCTTATGCCAGTAAACACATCATCAGAGGAGAAATGTTGCTCCAAGAAGGAGGGGAAGCTAATTTGATTACAGATTACGAGGACATAAATGTGAGTTTGTTAAAAAAAAAAGATGTGCATGAATAAATACTGCAATATTACACTCGCAGACAAAATTAAATAAGAATTTCATGGTGACTTTAAGAATCAACTCACATTTACACTAAAAGAGTCAACTTAAAGATCTCATTTGTGTTTTTTTCTTTCAGGTTTATCTTCTCCTCTTCCTTACATGTTCTTACTTTGTTATTGGTAAGTCAGGAGCTCTGGTCTCGCTGTGAGTTTGGGCATTCAGTTAATTAGCACAGAGCAGATGAGAGTTTGGTTGGTCCGGCGAGCGAAGCGTCTCTCCTCAGCATGAAGGAGTCGTGCGGCGCCTGTGAACATTAGAGAGCGGGGAACGATTACATGGCAGGGAGGAAGACGACACCTTCATCCTCTCACATCATGGAGTCCAACAGCATGATTCACTGACCTGCCCCAAACATTCACAAACTGTCACTTTGAGTTGTCAGTCTTCTGTGACTCTCTCTTTACAACAGGACGGAGGGGAGCGGGGGGAATGAGGATGGAAACTTTTTGATTCCGTGACATTAAACTTACCTTGACAGGTACGGGCGGCCCGGGGAGGACCTGACAAGCTGTGTGTGACCGACTCTCACTTACAGTGAGCTGAAGTTAGTGGTTCTTAAAGTCGGAATCAAAACATCACAGTTCATCAAATCCATTTCTAATGCTGGTAATGTTTGTGCTGTTGTTTTGCCACCAAAATGATGTCACTTCCTGGAGCATGATATCATTAGGAAGTGTCTTTTGTCAGTTTTGCAAAAGACAGGATGGGAGTGATACTGAGGACACTGGAAATATAGGTCTTGTGTAAAAGCTAACAAACTCATTCCCAGTTACCGTAAAACAATATTCTCAAGAAAACATGTTTTGATTGAGAAAGAAAATAAAATCCTGGAATATTTGTATAATCTAAAAGGTACAATATGGTTATTTTTGTATAACGAACAACTTTTTTACAGGATTCTTTAATCTACGCAAATGTTATTAACATTCAATTAAATATAGTATTGTTCAGTTTTAAATGTATGTTCACAATACACTAACTAATGTTAACTCATACAACTTGGAATATAAAACATGTAGTAGAATATTTGTAGATATTAACATTAACCTAGATTAATAATCTGTAAAAAAAAAAAAAAAAGTTAGTCATTTAAAGGGATATTTCCCTAAAAAAAAATGTAATTCTGTCATCATTTACTCACCCTCAAGTTGTTCCAAACATGTATGAATTTCTTTCTTCTGTTGAACGCAAAATATATTTTGAAGAAAGTTAGTAATCAAACAGTTTACGGTAGCCATTGACTTCCATTGTAGGGGAAAAAAAAATACAATGCAAGTCAACCGATACAACTTTTGATTTGAATAATGTATTAATAAATGTTGAAATTATTATGCTAACTAATGTAGGTAAGGATCCAGAGCTGCAAAATAGGAACCTATGAGACATATAATTTTCCTAAGGAAATTTTAGGGACAATGCTGATACTTAAGAGACAGATGGTAATTGAGAATATCATTAAGTATCCTAAACTATTAAAGAGCAACCAATGAGCAATAAAAAGAAATAAGCACATAAAATGTGCAAGAAAATTTACAAGTGAGATCTTTTATCTTTCAGTTGAGTCCACCCTTAGAGAGTATCCCACATGAGTCTAGGAGAAACATCTGCGACCAAGTTGATACTTGATAAAATATCACTGAGACGCTCAAGTCAACTGATCAGAACTGCGACTAAAGAGCAACTTCTGAGCAATTTTCGGTAACACTTTATTTTTATGGTCCGCTTTAGACATTCTACTGACTATAAGTAACTTAACAACTACATGTCAACTTATTCAACTTACCCAAACCCTAAAACCTAGCCCTAACCTACACTAACAGTCTATGAATACTCTAATGAGATAGTGGACATGTAGTTGCAAATAACTAATAGTTAGTAGAATGGGTAGCACTTTATTTTACAGTCCTACATGGAAATGAGTCCATGTACATAATATGTACTTCTTATTGTAATTGCAATAACTGGGTAATAACTAGGTACCAACCCTAAACCTAACCTTAACCCATGTAGTTACCTTATGTTAGTACTTTCCTATGTAAGTACACTGTAGTACACATAAGTGTACATACTGTAAAATAAAGTGCAACCGTAGAATGTCTAAAGTGGAGCATCGAAATTAAGAGTAACCAAATTCTCCTTAATGGGTTAGTTCACCCAAAAATAAAAAATTGTCATCAATTAGTCACCCTCATGTTGCTCTAAACCCGACTTTTGTATATCTTCGAAACACAAATGAAGATATTTTTAATGAAATCCGAGAGATTTCTGTCCCTCCATTGACAGTCTACACAACTAACACTGTCTTTGACACATCAAAAAGTTCCTAAAGATATTAAACAGATTGAATTGAATTTAGGCTTTTATTAACATATAAACATTGATCAGCCAACATAAACAGAAGCTCAACTGTACATGCTTGACACACGAGAACAAACCTCATTGGTTCTTGCAGAAGCTCAAGCCTGATGCTTAACTCGAGAATGAACCTCATTGGTTCTTCTCTGTTTACTATATCTGATGTGTGCATTGATATATGTTTACATCATATGTGAATAAAAGCCTTATTCAAGCTGTTCATCATATAAAGCGATCGTGTCTCTTCAGAAAATTTGGACTAAACCACTCGATTCATACGAATTAATTGTACGATCTCTTTATGAACTTTTTGATGCATCAAAGTGGGGACAGAAATCTCTCAGATTTCATAAAATTATCTTCATTTGTGTTCTGAAGAGGAACGAAAGTCTTATGGGTTTGGAACGACATGAGGAATTTTCATTTTTGGGTGAACCCTTTAAATGGCTTAGGACAAATCCAAGTGAGACATTTGTTGAGATACAGTAAAACGATAGAGCTATACACTATTATTCAAAACTTAGTTGTTTTGTTGAGTTATTTGATCCAAATACAGCAACAAGAGTAAAATTAAGAAATATTATTACAATTTAAAATAACTGGTTTCTATTCTCATATATTGTAAAATATAAATGAAAAAATATAACATATAAATTACTCCAGTCTTCAGTGTCACATGATCCTTTAGAAATCATTCCAATATGCTGATTTGCCGCTCAAGTATCATCAATAATGAAAACTACTTTTAAACAGTAGCTCTGATCATATGCTTTAAGATTAAGATTTGCAAGTAAATATATGCAGTGTGTGACACTTTAATCTCTTCTGAAACCTCATAATCTAATTGCTTTCTAGCTAAAGAAATCTCTTCTTTTTTTTTTCTCATACAAAATGTTTAGACAGAATCGAAGATTTGTGCAAAGATTCTGAGCCGAACTTGACAGCGCATGTACTGTGGCGACCATCCATCTGACAGGCCGTAGCTCTGCCCCCGGCCACACCACTGCACATGACACATGAATAGGTAATTTTACCTTTGCGTTACCAGGGTCGTGACCTATGACCTCGGAGGTCTCAGCTGTCAGTGTCGGGATCAGTTTCACCCCTTCTCTCGCTCGCCCTGTCAGACGCTTCAAAAGTCAGCGACAACATCCTCCTCACCACCCCTGCGGCTCTAAACACACTCACACACACACACACACACATGCACAAACAGAAGCTGCCAGAGACTGAAGCAGAAAGAGAGAAAGACAAAAAGTAAAGATGGTGACCTTCCTGCTTCATGGCAGTAGCTCAGTCCCAAGAGCAGTCGAGGGATCTTTTGATATTTCAAAAAGTGTCATGTCTTTCCTCCCTCTTTCCCTGAGACTTTCTCTTTTTTTCTTCTTCTTCTTATTGTTACACACTGATATGTCACATTGTTGTTGAAATGAAATGCAACACTTCCCGAGGTTGTGATTTCCTTGTTTGTGGGAAACCCTAGTGTCACCTGTACAGCTGACAAGTGGAGTTTTTAGCTCAGAGTCTCTCTGCCGTTCACTTTGACGGCGAGAGAGGCCGACAGTCGCTGTTCTGTGTTCATCTGCTCGGGGTTTATGTGCATTTACAAGCTCTGGACTCGTACAGGTGAAGAGCTGCTCACCAGAGCGTTCAACTGTTTCTTTGTTTCCCACCAATTTAAGCAATAACTCATGGAGTCTCATCTCAGCCTCAAAGAACGGTGGATTATAATATAATATACAGTGGCTCATTTATGTGTCGCATGCACATTCAATAAGTAAAAGTCTGCTTTGACTTAAGATGGTAACAATTATATTTCCATGTCATTCATTTACCTGTAACACCATATCCACAGCAAAATCTAAAAACTAAAAACAATCAAATGTTAGAACAATGGAAGATCCCTTCAAGACATGTTTATATTATAATATATTATAACATGTCATATAATATTAGATGTGGCATCAATATCTAATTTATTATTATAAGTTAAATATTATGTAATTCATTTTTTATATATATTTATTATTTTTATTGAAATATTTATATTAAAAATGTCTGTCTTGAGAATTTTTTTATTTCAAATGCTGGGTTGTTTTAACTCAATTTTGGGTCAAATATGGACAAACCCAAACGTTGGATTAAAAATGCAATTTAAAAATGTAACCCAACGGCTGGGTTTGTCCATATTTGACCCAAAATTGGGTTAAACCAACCCAGCATTTTTTAGAGTGTATGAAATAATACTTGTTCATTTATTTTAATTTAATTATTATTACTTAAATATTTGTTTTATTGTTATTATTGGTTAATACTTTATTTTAAGGTGACGTAGTTAGATTGTACTTGCTCAAATAAGTACTGATTAATATTAATTAACTGCATGTACTTACTATAGAGTTATGGTTAGGGTTTGGTTTAGAGTTAGTTACTTGTAAGAATGCTTAATTTACTGTTATTACTATAGTAAGTGCGTGTAACTAAGTCACCTTAAAATACAGTGTTACGTTATTTTATTTTTTATTATTATCCGTTTTCCAATCTGCTTGCATATATAGGGTCACAGTATTATTGTTATTATTAATACATTTTTCAAACCGCTTGTAATTTGTAGGGTCACAGTATTATTATTATTATTTGCATTTTTATATTCAGATTTTATCTTTCATTTACATTGCTTGCTCTTTATACAATTGACAATAATAAATGAAAAAAAAGGAATTCCTATCCAATCCAAAGATGCAAAATACAATTTTAAGTGATATGTGCATTTATAAATTGAACCGAAGAAGAAATATTCAATTTCAAGATGTCAACAGAAAACTTTAGAGGAGAACATTAGCACCAATGATCGACTTCCATCTGTAGTGGTGGATATACAGTATAAATATAAGCTTACATAATCACTTCAAAACCATAGAACAATTTAAACATAGGTCTCTATTGGAAGACCATGTTAAATAAAAAGAATTTACATTTTAAATGTCTGAATCTAACATCCTTTGAAATGTGCAAGGAAGATGACATCCAGCTCTGTCTTTCTTTGTTATTTTCACTTTCATTTCTTTCCCTTTTTTCTTTCTCTCTTTGGATAATGAATGACCAGCGGTGTCCCATCTCATGCAGAAATCATGTTCCATCATCCCGAGCTTTTCCCAGCTCAAGAAGGAAAACTAGATTTTAGAAGAGTCCGACAATATAGCTAATTTTAATTTTCTTTTCCAGTGCGACGTGACTAACAATGTTTAGATCGCACAGATAGGCTTTACATGTTTTTATTATAATTCTTCAGGAATGTAAGAATTTTTAAAAGAGAGAAAGAGAAGTTTTGCAAGATAGTAGATGCCCGCGCATGGTTTTAGAATGAGAAAAATGCAAACTCTTTTTCTTTTAAAAATCACAATCATCCAGGACATACAACGCCGAGTTTAAGAGCAGAGATTGATGGGATGTTTAAGACTGTCAGCATGTATTTAAGTATTAATTTGCTTGATTGATTTATTGATTGAATGTTGATGATAATGACTACCTTTTGGCAAATGGTAAATCTCTTGAAGATTATACGATCAATTAAAAGAATGCATAAAACGTCACAGCGGAAATATAGAGTGACAAAATAAAGCAAAAATGAGAGGGCTTAAAAAAAATGCCACATAAACTGCATGGATCTTCATAATTCAGCTCTTTCTTTGAGTAAGAAACCTAATTAAAACAGGTCCAGTGATTAGATTTCTCTTACCCAGATAATGTGCTCTCAGTGATTAACACAGGGCTCTACACTAACTCATTTGAGTGTTTACTTTGAGTTAAACTGCTGATATGTGTCTGCAACGTTTGAGGGAAATCATTGCTGATACTGTTAAAAAAGTATGCATTTATGTGTAGTTTCTCCATTTGAACATTTCTCTTCTTCAAAGTCTTTGTCTTGAGCTCTCAACTGGGCAGAGCTGATGATATGTGTGGCATTAGAGCGCCACCATCTGGCCATCGGCAGCACTGCGGAAACCACCGACATCTTCTTCTAGGTTATGCACAGATTATGCTCCATTTACTTAGCAAAACAGCCAATATGTGAAAATCACTGCAAGGATGTTTGGGGGTGAGGGGCTGTTAAGGAAGGAGTGAAAAACAATAGCCCGTGTTTGGTTTCTTGTCACCTCTCGTTTAAAACACTCAAGGCTTGGATGCCTTGATATCCATCATAATGCAACTTTAATGGAGGAGGCCTGGGCTGCTCTGCCAGAGTCACAGTGGTTGCTGGGGGCTAAAGAGCCCAAATGAGGGGCCTGTCGTGGGGCTTTTCCTCCAGAGCGGGGCATTGGCTATGCACAGGAATAAGTGTGCCAATCGATCGCGGCAGTGGGTTGATGGGCGCGTGTCGTTTTGATGGATATGACTGTACAGAGAGGGGAGGTGTGGTGTATATATATATATAAAAAAAGAAGCCCAGATTGCTTGACGATGGACCTGAAAAGATTTCCAGCAAAACGCAGAGAGTCAGAGAGAGAGTGGCAGCTGTGGTCGGCCCTCTACAGGGCGGCAACGGCTGCCTTGATTTATAGTTCCATCTGCTCACCGCGGTAAAGACAAGCTTCCCCCCCATTTGGTTAAAATGAAATGGACCTCAGAGAGCAGCCCTGCACATTTCAGAAAATGTGAAACTTTTTTTTTTTTTTCACAGGCGTCTTTAAACAATGGGGTGGTCCGTGCCGGAAACAACGGACAGTAAAACGAGAGGTTAACTTGAGATGAAAAGAATACAGTAGGATAAACTATACTAGGCTATTGTTGTTCTTTTTATCGTCTTTTTTTTTTTTTTTTTTTTTTAAATCAAAGACGGGGAAAGATGAGAGTTTATGACAAAACCTTGAAAGATGAAAACGGCGACTTTATGGCTAATTTCCCCGGGAAATAGACGAAGGCTGGGAACGGGCTCGGATCTCTCCTGGTGTAAATCTCTGCAGTGCCACCCGTGACCCCTGGCCTTGACCTCTGCTTCTGGAGTCGCACACACACTTCCTGTGGTGCGGTCTGGGCCGGCGAACACCGCGGTCGTCCTTTCGATCCGCTCGCAGGAAATTCCCGCTGCCAGAAGTGTTTCCTGAATGTGAGAAAATCATTTTTCAACCTTTTTAAAAGCTTGGCCTTGAACATTATCGTTAATTATTAATAAAGCAGCACATACTTAGGCCTACTACTACTAGTCCAAAAAATGTTAAAATGATACAATAAATATGAATTATATAAAAACAATATAAAAATATAAATTATAATTATATAATATGAAACTATAATTGTATAAGTTACACACACACACACATATATATATATATATATATATATATATATATATATATAATGTGTAACATAAAATAAAAAATATAAATTATATATTTGTATATCTACATTTATAAATGTATATTTATAATTTATATATATATATATATATATATATAAAATATGAAAAAAATATATAATTATATTTGTTATTAAATAATATTTGTTATAATATTTAAACAAATAAAAATATTCCTGGCAATAATGAAAAATCTGATCATTACCTGCTTCTCTCTTTGAGCAGGTTTTTCTTCCTTCTCTCTTTACACCAAAAAGAAAGGAATAACAGTAAGTGTTTGAACTTATTCAGAAATAATCCCTTCCTCACTGCGCCTGTCAGTCTGCATAATTTACAACAATTCAGGAAAAAAAGAAAGAAACACTGACTGTGGACGTAACACTACCTTTCAAAAAAAATTGAAGAAAGCAAGCCCCACTTTTCTGACGACATCAATCACAATTTATGCAAGTGGAAATCCATATGTATGTGATCCCTGCCCATCTCATTTAAAGATAATGCCGAGCCTCATGTTGTGGACATGGCCGGAGTGTTTTATATCCTGCGCTTGACTGTATTAACCCTAGGGGCACAATATCTCTGTACAGCTGCCCTAACAGAGTCACAAAACACATTGATTAACGCTTGGCAGCGGACGGCGCTCCCAATGATCCGCTAATGAGAAGTGATAAGCACAGAGAAACACACACACACACACACACACACACGGCCCCGCCATTGAAGTTGGCAGAATCTATTCTAATAAGCCCTGGTCCAAAGAGCAGCACAGGGACCCCCTGCAAGAACAAGCATGTGTGTGTGTGTGTGTGTGTGAATATAATGCAGAGTTGCACGTCGCTGCTCTGCACACAAGGAAAATCCAGAAGGAAAGTGCAAACTCCTTTGAGGGCGATTTAATAAATAGACGGCCGTTTGCATCTCAGGGCTGATTTGTGCAAAGCGATGGACTGCTGGAAAACGTTTATTGCCCTCGGACCATTCTGATAGATTTCTCTGCCTCAGCTTGAGCGGGGAGCTACAACATAATGGACTGTTTGACAAGCAGAATATTGATACATGAAATTCCTTTGCATCCATCAAAATATTTCCATCATGTGACAGCCGCAGCGTGGAGGAAAAGAAAAGACGCAGACAGGCTGAAAAAAAAAAAAAGGGCTTTCACTGACACTCTCCGCAAACATCTCCAGCAATCAGCAATAATAATTACAGCGACAACACGTGTAATTTGCCAGCAAATATCTTCAGGAAAGACTTCAGCGATCTGTGTCGGGCGGACAGGAAGGGCTGTTGACAAATGAACAGCATATGAAAATAAACGGCAGGGATGTTTCACATGCAGGCTCTGCTGCAGAGATGCATTTGTCTTGGAGGAACTCCAGTCGCCGCTCGCAGTTTACAGCAGCTCTCGGCTAATATTTACACGAGACCAAGGCCTTACTGACAAACGCCCCGTGCTGGGTGTGCTCCGGGGTCAAAGGTCGCCGCAAAAATACAGCCTTGGAGAAACAGGCTCCGGGATTTAGAAGCAAAACAAAACACACATGTGGAAAATCCAGCAGCGTGAAACCCGAGTCTCCTAAACTGAAACGGATTTGATTTACCCCTTCCACTGAAAAAACATAAACTTGTAAAAAAAAAAAAAGTATGCATAAATGATATGTAATTATATATAAAAGACTTTGATTTACAGTATTTTGTCATTTATTCCTTTAAATAAAAGAATCAAATGAAATCTTCCTTTGTATTTTATTACCATGTTACGACCCAAATTTAGGATCCAACATAAAAAGGGGAAAACGTATGCAATGGCCAAAAAAAAAAGATGAAATTTATTTACACTAAAAACGCAACAACAAACATTATATACATACATACATAAGGACTGGTGAGCGAACTGAGATTTTAAAAGATTTAAACCTCCCAAGAAAATAACAAACAAACAAAATGCCACCATAATGCTTCAAAAACCAGTGCGCATGCTCTTATTGTTGTCCCAATTCCAGCTTTGGGATTTTGGAATTCTGAATCAATGCTCTGTCTTTCCTGAACAAAGCCTCACTGGTAAGGAGATGGAAAATGTGTGTTTGGAGATGCAGTGTTTTGGCAAAACGTTCTCCGCGCACTTGATTACATTTATTCTACAGAGAGGCTGTCTGTCGGTCTCTCTCTCTCTCTCTCTCTCTCTCTCTCTCTCTCTCTCTCTCTCTCTCTCTCTCTCTCTCTCTCTCTCTCTCTCTCTCTCTCTCTCTCTCTCTCTCTCTCTCTCTCTCTCTCTCTCTCTCTCTCTCTCAGCAGGCGGATGAAAACCACGGGGCTTGATCAAACATCTCCTATTAGAGATGCCCAATTGAACCGCTTGAGTCCGGGCAGCTACAAATTCATTTCGACTAATACCAAATTGACGGCTAAAATGTCAGCGTGCTTGTTGCGTGTAAACGCCAGCTTCCGTAAAAGTCACAGAGTGAAACCAAGGACTCAGAGGTCAAATAATTCCACCATTTAATTCTGATGAAAGCGTCTGTTGTGTCTCTGAACTGTTTGCTTGCTATTGTTGCCTTTCTTTCCTGCCAGCTGGACTCTAGAGGAGAGAGAAATGTTTTCGACAACGCTCCCCCCTTTTTTCAAACCTGCGTATCAGTATTCCCAGGGCCGCGTGGTCCTGAGTGTGTACATATAAAAATAGGAGGCCTGTCATTTCACATTCATTAAGTGTGAAACTCAGAAATTCATAATGTAAAAATACACTTTTTAATTAGTCTTACATTGGGCCCAATGTACTAAAACGGGATCAGGCGCTCCCAGCAGACCCTCTTAATAAAGCATTAGTCTGTGATGTGCAAGCACTGACAGGTAGAAGGACTAAGGAGTTACTTTTCTACTCACATGAACAAATCAAAATCAGTCTTGTTCTATTTAAATGTAATTAACATCAGAGATCTGATCGCACATGAAGGCTGGCAGCAATATATATAGACCGCGGCCGTATGTATGTTTCATTACGCGCTGTAAGCTCTCTTTCATTACGGTGAAGGGGTGTGTTTACATAAGCTGACTGAATGAAACAGACAATCCATCATGAACGTATTATTTACATTAATAAGGCCATGAAGAGATTATGTAGCGTATTTGCTACCTAAATTTGTTCTATTGGGGAACTGAGCAATAATCTCATTGGAGTCAACCTTTGAAGATGCATAAAAACTATACGATTGTCTTGCAATGGTATGTTTGTTTATATGTCATATGGAATACTAGGAGAAGCTAAATCAATCAATGTTGCAAAATGAGGTCAAATGCATTCATTCACGCTGTATACTTATGAATAAACATTATCAGTTATTTCAGGAATTACAAAAGCAGTACATGTTTTGTTGGGTAAAACACAAAAATGACATGATCTCTTTTGATTACCTTTTCGTAATGTTCTGTTCGAAATGTTATTAACAATATTAATATTAAATAAATACAATATTTGTAAGTTAATACATTCAAATATGTACTTTAATTATTAAAAACGTAAAAAAAATACTATAATAATGAATATAATACACAATATATTTATACATATTCATTATTAGTATTATTTATTATCATTGTGCAAAATTTCAAATGGACTTCACTGCATATTACATGTGTGTATAGCATTTGTGCTCATCTCTGTGGATATGTATGTGTGTGTGTTCTGTTGGCCATTTGACAGTGGAAATAGGACAGAAGTGTGTGACGTCCTGCTGTACTGAGACTCAAAACACTGCAGCGGTGCTAAAATAATACGACGGGCCAGAAAGAGTGTTTCAGCTGTGTATGGCATATGTGTACCTGCCATGCGAGTGATATGATGAATCCTGCCTGATCTGAGCGGATCCAACACCGCCGTGAAGCTGTTTCTGCACAGGCTTGCATTGCCCTTGTTCCCTGATGAATCCCCAAAGTGAGGTGAGCACCTTTGCGATTGAACACACAGCTATTAGGCCCAAATCACCCGCTACTCCCTAATTTGAAATAATTAAATCTTTCCTCCTGTCCTCCAAATCCCCTTGAAATATTCATGCTCAGGTTAGAGTTGTCGGGGTGAACGGAGGGCCATCACACTCGCTGACACCTCGCTGTCTCTCCACACAACAGCCCACAGATGCCGCGCCGTTTAAGAGCAGATTAAAACTGACACTAATTATAATCTGACTTGTGTTATATAACTTAGATGCTCAGGTGAATCCCCGGACCGTTCGCCCGCGTTGACAGATCCTGTCACTTTTGCTTAGGGGCCGAATTACGGGTGGAACGAGGCTCTCGTCTGCGCTCAGGCCGGCTGCCAAATTGGCAGAGGATTCAGACACAACTACATCCCTTTTTTATTTAATTGAAGTGCTAATGAACGGGGAGACGGAGACTGCCAGGAAAAAAAACTGAACGCAAAGAGCTTTGAGAGACACGAGGCCTGAGCTGGACGAGATAGTGGCTTCACCAGAGCAACTTTTACACTTTAAACAGATAACCACACTCGAGCTGATATAGATCTCATCTGTGTGTGTGTGTGTGTGTGTGTGTGTGTGTGTGTGTGTGTGTGTGTGTGTGTGTGTGTGTGTGTGTGTGTGTGTGTGTGTGTGTGTGAGAGAGAGAGAGAGAGGGGGAGAGAGAGACGGGCTATTTCATATTTCAATTGCTATTACCTGGTTAAAAATATATATTTTGTCAAAAACAGGGCTTTCCTGCAAACCGCTTTTTAGACTTTTCATCAATAATTATGAAACAGAAAATTAACTGATAAAATATAGATACATTTTCAAAGCATTGTTGTGGTCACCAGAAATTGTAATTTGTCTTGCAACTAACCCATTTCTTTTATAAAGATATTGACTTAATTGACTAAAGTGCAATATAATATTTCTGAAAACTTTGAAATTAAAGCTCCATTAATATTGATTAATGATGATTAACATTTTAGAACACTTTCAGGAAATGATTTCGAGTGAGACATTATGTAACATTTTTGTTTCCAGTAAATTTGGTCGATAAACATTCTCTTTTTTAAAGTTACTGATGTTATTTCAGTTCAATTTACATATCAAGGTCCAAACTGATATAGCAGTCATTCATAAATTAGTGTTCAATTATATAAATGTCAATTCTGCTATAGTCAAGTTCAAGTATTAATGTTCATGTCGTGTTTTGTATCTGGTTTTGTATCTGTATTTCCAATAAACTGGAAAACTATATCCCAAGAAAACTTGTGTTCTCATCCTCAACTCGCCATGG